AGACGCTAAGGGCCAGGAAGCATCAAAGGGACCCTGGCTCACTTTTCTCTCCCTCTGAACTACAGCGCATTCTGCTCTTAGCTCGAGCTCCTGGGAATTCAGTCCTGTCCTTGTGGCCCAAGGGTCCCCACCAACATTTGGGGGTGCCCACCTCCAAGGGGCCAAGGAGGCTCTGAAGAGCCACCGCACGTGGGCAGCAGCCCCTTGGTCCCTGGGCAAGCCTTCAGCACGTTACCATGCTTCAGTATTCGACATTGGACACCGATTCCCTTCGATTGTGAAATCGCACACCATCCCACGTCCTCGGCATTGCTCTGGGCTCTGGTTCTAAGCCCCTTGGAGATACTGGCCCAGATGTGACTGCTGGTCTGAAGGTTCGCATGCAGAGCCCGGCCCGCCTTCTCCAGCTCCGATGCTGCTCCGCCGGCTTTGCCAGGAGAATGTTCTCTCTCCCACACGCCCAGTCCGCAAACCCGCGTCAGCCCCGCACGCTGACTGCAGCTGGCCCCGCGCTCACATCGCTCTCTCATCCTCCGAGACGTTGGTGCAGCAGGTCACACAGCACGGTCATGTCGCCACTGAGCTCGGGGTCTCCCAGGTTCTGAACTGGGAGTGGCAGATGCCACTCGGTCATTCGTCTCTGATGATATGCACCTTTCCCAGCACATATCCCAGTGATGAGATAACACATACACACACACACACACACACACTCATGGGGACATGTGATTTATAGCAGGGACATAATTACCCCAAATAAATGCTCTGACAAACAGAACCCAATGCATCAGGGGCAAATAAAGCTCATCTCAGGAATGCAAGGATGAGTCAACATTATAAAATCTGTGGGTGCAGTTCGCTACATTAAGAGATTAAAGAGAGGAAAATCCCTGGTCATCTCAAAAAATAGCCAATCCCCCCGAAAGCACCTGGTAACATATAATACTTACTGCTGAGTTGGAAGCACACCCAACCAGACCTTCAGGAAGCTCGGAATGGTAGGAAAATTCCTCAACCTCCAACGAGCATTGCACTTAATACATGAGAACAGGGGTCAGCAAACTTCTGCAAAGGGTCAGGCAGCAAATATTTTAAGTTTTTCCGGCCATATGGTCTCTGTCCCAACTACTTAACACTGATGCCACAGTATGAGAGCAGCCGATTAGAAAACATGTAAATGAACAGGCCAGGCTGCCTGCCAATGAAACTTTACTTACAAAGAGAGACCCCCGTGGGCAGGGTTTGGCTCCCAGCCATGGTTTGCTGACAGTTGCATTAGAGCCATTCACATTATAGTCAGAAACAAGAGAAAGATGCCCGATTTTATATTTGAATCCTAGTGCATGTGACAATACAAGAAAATACATGTGAAGTACATATATACTATAAAGGCAGAGATAAAAATACAATTATTTGCATAATTACATGACTATTTGTCTAGGAAATCTAAAACAATCAACTGGCAAACCATTCAAAATAAAAGCAGCCAATTTTAGGGTCAACACACAAATATAATAGCATTTATTAAAGCAGCAATATCTTCTATCTATATAAAAGCCTAAGCCACCATAACAACCAAATGGACGACCAAACAGGTTGCATGGGGCCGACCGGGCTGGCAGGGGGATTAGTGAGGGACAATCAAATGACTGAGCAGCAGGCTGTGTGGGGTGACCAGGCTGGCAGGAGGGCAGTTGGGGCAACCAGGTCAATGGGGGAAAGACAGTTGGGGATGATAAGGCCGCAGGCCAGCAAGGGGGGGAGGAAGGGGGAGGGGCGCGGGAGGAGCAGTGAGGGGTGATCAGACAGGCAGGTGAGCAGTTAGGAGCCAGTGGTCCAGGATTGTGAGAGGGATGTCCGACTGAGGATCAGGCCTAAACCAGCTGGACATCCCCCAAGGGGTCTCGGATTGGAGAGGGTGCTTGCTGGGCTGAGGGGACCCTCCCCCCATCCACGAATTTCATGCACCAGGCCTCTAGTATATAATAATATAATAAAAGCCTAATATGCTAACTGTCTGGTCAGCCATTCAATCAATCAAAGTGTAATATCCTAATGATATAGCAAGGCCACTCAACCACTTGCTATGCTGTGCACTGACCACCAGGAAGCAGATGGTCAATTGGTAGGTTAGCTTGCTGCTAGGGTCTGGCCGATTGGGACTGGAGTGGGCCAGACACGCCCTGGAGCCCTCCTGCAGTCCCTTACCAGCTGGCCAACCTCCGGCATCCCTCCCCAGCTGATTGTGTACCAGTGGGATCCACTGGCCTGGCCTGCACCCTCTCACAATCCGGGAGCCCTCAGGGGACGTTGGAGAGCCAGTTTTGGCCCAATCCTATGAGCCAGGCCAAGGGACCTCGCTGGTGCACGAACTCATGCACTGGGCCTCTAGTGTAAATAATATTTCATAAGCAAAAGTGCCCCATTCATGACAGCAGTAAAACCCAGAAATAAGTGAAGAAATGACTGTGACATAAAACAAAACTAGAAAACTTTACTGAAGTTTAAATAAGTCCAGATACAGACCCACCGGGGAGCCAGACTCCAGATCACATGACGTTAGCTTCCCAAGTGTGCCCACGTGCAGTCCTGATAAAACTCCCAGCAGGACTGGCTGCAAACAGTGGGTTCTAAACTGCACTTTAGAGGAGAAAGTGTGCGAGCTTAGCTGCGAAATGCCTGTAAGGGGTTTGCTGCAAAGCCATCCTAACCAATGCACCGCTGCTGCACAGAAATTGACAGATAGGCGCGCGGGTCAGGACTGGCACAGCAGAGACGGCACCCTGTATTTGAGGGAATTTACGTGAAAAAAGGATACCCTTTTCAATAAATGATGATGTGACAACTGGCTGTGCATTTGAAAAAGAACACATTCCACCCACCACACACAGTGGGGTGCCCACACTGGCCCTTTCACCTGCGGCAGCTTCTCTCCCAGCCCCGGAGTCAGGCAGGCTGCTCCCCACTCAGACTGAGGTCAGAGTCCCCCACCACGCCTGCAACTCAGCTACAATGTCTTTGGCTGTGGAGAATCTGGATAAAGGGCCCTCCACCCCTTTCTGGGTTCTCAAGGGCTGGATCTAAACTATCCTCCTGTCCGCTCCCCAGAGGCCCATCCTCTGCAGTTTTGGGGACTCCTCTGGAAGAATTTGCATTCCTGGCCAGATACAGAGCCCCAGAGCACAGAAGGCAAGGGTCGTGTGGAGTCGATACCTGATTAAAGGTCTCCTTTTGAATCAGCAGAGGTCCCTGCACTTTGTTCCAAGGAGGGACACCACTCCCCCTTCATCTGTTTGTGGTTCTGTTGATGCTATCTGAGAGGGCTGAGCCGAGTCCTTGAAACCAGCTCTCCAAACATAAACAAACAGCCCGATTAATGAAACAAAGTATGTACTCTGACATTTTCCCTGGATCTCAGATTCTCAGTCCATCCTCTGCTCTGCCCCACCACAACCCCGATCCCTACCTCCAGCTTTGTGACTGCTGATCAGGTCTCCCTACGAATGCCCTTTCCCGCTCCTCCTCTGCCCCACACCCCTAGGGCCACCTCCAGGTCGACTGGAAGATGTTTGTGAATGTGGCTGCAACCTAGAGACAGCTGAGCAGCCAGTGCAGTGGGCTCCCCTGGGACCCCCCAACACACACACACACACACACACACACACACACACACACACACACACCAGCTCTGCAGGTGTTTGTCCTACCCTCCTTTCCTGTACTCTGCTTCAGACACAGCTGTCCCTACTGTGGAATCTCAGCTTCCAGAAGAATCTGTCTCTCTTCAGACTCCTGGGCTCAGTTTTTCCTGTGACTCTCCCACCCCGAGGTTGGGGTCTGGGTGCTCAGCAAGGGAACTTCTGAGACCCCAGAGCCCATCATGGCTTTCACAGGTGTGGCCTCACAACTCACACACCACACCTGCCTGGACCCCAGGCCAAATGGCTGCTCCTCTTTGGGGAACTGGGCCAGACTGGAGAGAAGCAGACCCAGCTCCCAGGGCAGGAAAGACACAGACCCAGGTCTGAGACCCCCCCAGCTCCCTGGGCCAGTCTGGAGGTTCCTCCTTCTTCCCCAGCCCAGGGCCTTGGGAAGGGCTCTTCTGCCCTCTGGTGGCCAAGTGGCTGCAGCTCAAGTCGGTGGAGAACAGGCGTTTCTGCAACACCGTTAACCTTAACCATCAGACCGCGGTGCAGAAGGAGGAAGCTATTTCCAGTTATTTGTATCAAGATTTCTTTTTTTTATTTTTTCTCTTAATGAAAGGCGCGTGAGACCTCTCCTCTGGTAAGGATCACACTCCAGGGGCCTATTCTGTGGTGCAGAAGGAGGAAGCTATTTCCAGTTATTTGTATCAAGATTTCTTTTTTCTCTCTCTCTTTTTTCCTTAATGAAAGGCCTCTCCTCTGGTAAGGACCACACTCCAGGGGCCTATTAGCGGAGGCGGAGAGGAGAGAGAAGGGGGTTCCCCCCCGCAGTCCTCCCTGGCGGGACGCACTGGGGGTGGGGGTTCCCGGCGGCGTGGAGACCCCTGCGCCTTTCTCCACGAGGTGCTCCCGGAAGAAACGGGTGGAAGGGCCGCAGAAGGCTCCTCGCCTCTAGGGGAAGTCACCATGCGGGGCCCGGGGAGTGGAGCAAGGCCGGGCACCTGCCTGCGAGGCCAGAGTGCTGCCCACGCTCCGCCTCCCCGGCCAGCAAGGGCGCCGAGCGGAGGTCGCGATCCCCGCAGCCAGCGCGGCCCCCCCGCCCCGCGCTGTCCCCCGACTTCCCGCGCTGACCCCGCTGTCCCCCCGCCCAAGGCCCGGAACTCCGCCGCGGGACTCGGCTGCCCCGCGCCTGGGACCCTGGAGACTTCCGGACTTTCGAGGACGCACCACGCACGTGCGGGGCGGGGCGGGGCGCGGGACGTTGCCGTGGTTACCGGCGAGGCGCCCCGCGGGGACTGGCGGGCGGGCGCTTCCTGGGCGGGACTTGGCGGCCGGAAGTGCGTGCCGTCTGAGGCCATGGCGGCGCTGGGCGTCGTCTGCGTGCTGCTCGGGGCAGCGAGCTGCCCGTTCGCCTGGGCTTTGGACGAGAATTTTTGGCTCAACCGGTCGCCGGCCAACCTCCTGTCGGACAGGGCGACCTTCAGACGGTAAACGCGGGGCTGGGCTGTCGGCGTGGTTCCCTGGTGGGGGGTGGGTGGGGGAGGTGGGTCTGATGGGCTTGCAGGCCCGGGCCGGGAGGGGACGCGAGCCAGGGCGGCCAGAGGCGGGTGCGGCCCCGGAGACGCCTGGAGGGCAGGCTGCCTGTGGGTCAGCGCGGAGGGCGGGCGGGCGCGGGACCCGGTGAGATGATGCAGGCTCCCCCCCCCCCCCCCCCCCGAGTTTCCTGGAGCCCCAGGATGGGAGGTTCTTAGAAAGCGCAGCTTTGTGAATGTGCACGGGGTCCTCAGTCTCCGTGCAGATGTTCACGTCTCAGGCCTGAAAAAGAAGGGTCAGCGCAGGTCATCTTCGAACAAAATAGACCTGTGCCGGGTGGGAGGTGCAGAGAGGGCAGATGGGCCACCCCCTGGATTACGTACAGTCCACCTGGAGTAAGGGGCCATGCGGGGGGGAAGGGGAGGATGAGGATGAGTACCTGTTGCCATAGATGCCCAGGACCCGGGTCTGGGTCCTTGTAGCAGATGGGGTTGCTTTGGACAGGGCAGCGGTTCTCAGCGTGTGTCCAGGAACCCCTGGATGTTCCATTTCCGCAGTAATACCAGACTGGTGGGTATTTGCCCTGTTCCACTCTCTTCCTCCCACCCAGTTGACCCATGTAAACGTGAATGTGGCTGCAACCTAGGGACAGCTGAGCAGCGGGAGCAGTGGGCTCCCCTGGGAACAAGGTCTGCTCCCCTCTCTGAAGAGACTGCCCCCTCCCCCAACACACACACACACACACACACACACACACACACACACACACACACACACCAGCTCTGCGGGTGTTTGTCCCTCCTTTCCCCGTTTAGTGTTTTCCCCCCGGAGACCACCTGTGATATCACAGCACGTGGAATGCAGCAGCAGCGAGGAGAACCCAGCCCTCACCAGATGGAAACATTCCCCAACATTGCCACCCTTCTCACCAGTTATTTTTTGTTTTGAAAAATACATGCTTTTTATTGAAAAGGGTTACCGCGGAACGGGCGTGTTACTTTGAAGTGAATTAACACGTGCTTTTTAACGTTCTTACGTTAACCTTTAATGCAGGAGTTATTTACCGATCCAACCCACGTACACAACAGCCTTTTGGGGTCCTCGGTAATGAAGAGTGCAAAGTGGGCTGTAGGCTAAAAAGTTTGAAAACCACGGGAGGTTCTGGTCACCGAGGCCGCCATGCTTAGGTGTCAGTTATCGCCAGCTGCTCCTACCCGTGGGCTCTGTCCGTCTTCGGTCAGATGGAAACGGGTGGGCAGCTGCCTCTACCTCGAAGACTAGAAGTGACTGAAAGCCCCAGGGTGGATGATCTCCTGTGGGCCTCTGGTGCCTCGGGGTTTTCTGTCCAGAGACCTCCACCCTGAAGTACCGCTGTCCTGCCCCCCCCCCCCCCCCCCCCCAGGTATCTTCTGTACGACGTCAACCCCCCAGAGGGCTTCAACCTGCGCAGGGATGTCTACATCCGCATGGCCTCCCTCCTGAAGATCCTGCTGAAGCACGAGGAGTGGGTGTTGGTGCTGCCCCCTTGGGGCCGCCTCTACCACTGGCAGAGCCCGGACATTCACCAGGTCCGGATTCCCTGGTCCGACTTCTTTGATCTTGACAGTCTCAACAAGAACATCCCCGTCATGGAGTACGAGGACTTCATCGGAGGTGAGGCGGCGGTCCCGGTGTGGGCGGCAGGCCAGGCCCGAGGGCTGTCTCCGTCGGGCCTGCTGTTGGACGTCGTAGCCCTTGCTCTGTGGAGGGGCCCCTGTGTCCTTCCGTTCCCCACGTACCAGTGACCTTGGTTTTGCCTTAATTTTTCTAGGGAAGTAGATCGGAAGTGGTATGGGCTCTGTCCTCCTCACCTCTGACAGCCTGGGCGTCAGGGAAGTGCAGTTAGAGAGCCGCTGCCACGGAGGCCGGGGCTGTCCTAGCTCCTCTCAGCTCCATGCAGAAGAGGCCACTTGACCAAAACACCACGTGCGTGTGGCGCTGACCTTGCGATGTCCGCCGCAGTGCTGGTGAAACTCGTGACCGGGTGTCCTTTATTTAGTCCTGCTTGAAGATTTTCTTAGAGTAAAGGTATTTAGCACTTACTGTTGCTTTGTTTAGAAGACGTAAGCCTAACAAATCGCTGATCTGTCTTCTCTGCTTCCCTAGAGAGGCCTGGGGGAGCCCGTCACATTCTGTCAGCCACTTTACATGTAGCATGAACGATGAGTCACGGTCTGCAAGCTGCTGATACTTGTAGCAGTCACTCTGTGACGTTGCTTGATTTCCTGCTCTGCAGGGATCTGGGCAGCTTAGACTCGGGGCTCACACTGCGGATGATGGCTTGCACATCTTCATTTTTCAAGGTCTGTGAATGCTGCAGGCCTGGAACGGCATAGTGTCTTCTCAGAAGAGGCAAACTCTGAGACTGTGCAAAGCATTCTTGGAGCTTTCTCTCTCCCCCAGCCCAAGGCGGGAGATGTAGCAGGGTGTTTAGTCCGACTTGGCCTGGTTCTGAACCCGGGTTGCGGAGCTTCCAGGAGAACCAGCCCTTACCTTCCTGCAGGGTGGGGCGTGGGTTTCCTGACAGACAGGCCCGGGGGCGGGTCTGGGCCTCAGCCATTGGCATGGTGTTTAGTGACTGGAATCTGCAGGTGTGTGGGGACAGGAGACAGGAGCCCTTCCTGCTGCTGTCCAGGCCCCATCCCTGGACCTGGAGCCACCAGGGGGAGGGAAGAGGGCGTGCCCCAGGCAGGCAGAACGGCTTTGCCTCCACCCTACCCGACAAGCTGACTGCTCAGCTGTCTCCTCCCCCACAGAAGGGGCAGACACGGGGCCATCCCAGGATGGAGTTGTGGGGGTGTGCAGCAGAGCACCTGGCCAATACCAGCCTCTCGTATTGCATCACGGTCCCTCACTGTGAGAGCCCCCGGGGCCCCACCATGCAGATGACAGTGCCCAGGGAGACACCGTGGACAAGACACCGGGATGTCCCTTGCTGTGGCCCTCTTCCTGGCTCATTCCTTCCATCTTCGAACAAATCTCTGACCACCACGATGTGGCAGGCACGTCCTAGGTGTGGGTGGGGACACAGGCCCCCGCTCTTCTGGAGCTCCTGTGGGGAACGGGGAGCAGGAAATAAAGGATATAATGACGCTGCCTGGACCAGGTGGCTTGGTGGTTGGAACATTATCCTGTGCATCAAAAGGTGGTGGGTTCAATTCCTGGTCCGGGCATATACCTAGGTTGTCCCCATTTGGTGTTTCTCACATTGATTCTCTCCCTACCCCCTCCCTCGTTCCCCTCTCCCTCTTTCTAAAATGAATAAAAACATATCCTCAGATGAGGATTTTTAAGAAAGAATCTAAGTAAGCCATTGAAGCCTGCATTGTTTGAGGTGGTGAAGCGTTCAAGGAGAAAAGGGATGCTGGCAGGATCCACAGTGTTGGAGGGGCGGGTGGCCAAGACCCTGAAAGGCTTCTGAGGGATGTAGTTTGAATGGCTTCACGGGGCATGAGCAAGCCCCGGGCGATGGTCCAGACGGGGATGGCTATTCGGAGGCCCCTGGGAGGGAGATGCTGATGACCGGAGGCACAGTGGGGAGGCCGGTCCCCGGGGAGCCCCGGAGAGGAGGATGGGGCCTGTGACTGGCATGAGGCCAGCCCTTCCTTGGGGGGGCGGGTACAGGGATAAAGAGAAGAGGGTGGAGGCAGGCCCAGGTGCTGTAAGAGGCCAGGGTGACGAGGCCTGGACAGCTCAACCACCCCCAAGCCAACCCACACACCCCTCCGGGAACTCTGTGCCCCGATGTCACTTGTTTGGCAAAGCCTCACTGAAGCTGCCTTCGGTTCCCGGGAGGAAGGGGTCCTGAGGGATCATCCTCTCTGTCAGGGGCGGCCCGCTCCGGACCACAGGACGCGTTTCGGTGGCGGCCATTTACTGTCAGTTCTTGTCTCTTCCAGAGAACGGCGGGCCCTTCATTGAGCAGATCTACGTCCTGCAAGGCTACGCGGAAGGGTGGAAGGAGGGCACCTGGGAGGAGAAGGTGGACGAGCGGCCCTGCCTGGACACGCCGCTGTACTCGCAGGACCAGCACGAGTACTTCAGGTACGAAGGGCGAGCCACGCTGCCTGTGGGGCTGAGGTCACCCAGCTTCGGAGCGCACGCGGCCCACGTGGCCACACTCCCCGTGTGCACCAGCCTCCTGGTCCCCGTCCACGGGCGCCTCGGGTCACCTGGGTACCGGCGTTGATGGCCAGTGAACCAGGTCCTGGGAAGGGTCTTGTCACCCCAATCCTAAGGGGCCATCGGAAGACTTCCTGTGGGAGGGCCGGCACCTTAGGGCGCTCGGCTCCCGGGCCGTGCCCAGCCTGAGCGACGCGGAAGCTCGGAGGAGTGTTGTAAGGACGGACTGCAGCGCGGGCACCCGGCCCAGGCAGCGTCCTTATGAGTCCAGAAGTAAACACCTCAGTTCCGCCAGGTTCCCTCCTGTGGCCCTGCTCTCCCGGCCTGTGGGCCCCGATTCCTGGAAAGAGCTCCATTCTCACAAGTCAGAGAAGCTGAGGGTTTCTCTAGAATTCTCCTACGTCGCTGCCTCTCACCTGGCCAGTGAGCTCTCGCTGCGAGTGCCTGGGTGTATAGAGTCCGGGAGCGGGCGTGCACCCAGATGTACTTACTGCCTGTGGGAAACAGACTGACCGGGGGTCCTGTGGCTCTTCTTTTCCAGGGGATGGTTTTGGGGTTATGAAGAAACAAGGGGGTTAAAAGTTTCCTGTCTGTCTGTTCAAGGATCGGCTTCTATCATTGCACCTGTGCTTTTGAGAAACACAACAGCACGGTAGGTGCCTGCACCGTCCACTCAGCAAGGGTCAGTGAATGAGGGTGTGTGTGTGGGTGCATGTTCACGTGTGAATGTGTGCATGTGTGCACATGTGAGTGTATGTGCATGTGAATGAGCACACATGAATGATGCATGTGCATGTGTGAATGTGTATGTGCACTGTCCTGGGGCATCGGAATGCCTTCTGGCTGTGGCCTGGGTGGGGTTGCTGGAAAGTTAGATCTTGCCCCTCCCCCCACACTTACTCCTCAGCAAGGCAGGACAGCCCTGGAATCCAGGAGGAGGCGTGTGTCTCTGGGGAAAGGCCAGGGAAGGGCCCCAGAGCTGGCTCGGCGGCACCCACACCCTAGGCTCTGCGCAGCGCTCCTCGGAGCCACCGTTCTTTTGACCCGCGTGGCGGGGTTCCCACGCTGGCCACTCCATTCTTGCATTGTCAGTCACATGGGCTTGGTAACCCGGTGCATTAGCCAGAACTAATTGCACTCCTAGAACCACCCGGAAATGAACCCTCAGACCGTGGTGTTGGGGGAGTGCAGTACCTGCCCATGTGCCCCAGTTGCCTGTGCCTCCCGGCCCCCGGCCCCCTCGGAGGCTGCCCTGGGGAGCATGTGTTGGTAAACGTTTTTAAAGTTTTTAAAGTTAGGCGTTCCTTCCTGATGTTTAAAACAGGTCCGTGATGTTGGACAGAGCGGAGAACCTCCTTCACAATCACTACGGGGGAAAGGAGTACTGGGACGTGAGTGCTGCCTGCAGGCCTTGCTACCTGTTCCCTGTTGTTTTAATTCGGTCGTTTTTTAATATCTGAGACCGTGTGGCCGGGGTGGGGGTGGGTCGTGGCAGGGGCTGAGCTGGGCACCCACCTGGGGGCCGATGGGCTCAGCTGTCCTGTCTGCACCCCCAGACGAGGCGGAGCATGGTGTTTGCCAAGCACCTGCGTGCTGTGGGCGATGATTTCAGAATTAAATACCTCAATTCCAGCAACAAGGCCGACAGGATCCCCGACGAGGAGGACTGGACCAAGATGAAGGTAGTTTCTCTTTCTCTCTCTAATTAGAGGAGATGTAAGTCATCTCTTGAGATGCCTGATGGCAAACCCCTTAATTTACAGCAGGGGGTGACACGATTGTCACCTTCAGTGTCACCCCCTTAGTGCAGTCCTCACTCATTACTGTAATGATCATGGGTGCTGGTCATTAGGACGCCCCTGTGTCATGTCCTCCCTACACACACACACACACACACACACACACACACACATCAGGATGCCCCTGTGTGCACGCTCCCCCTACACATATGCGCGCACGTGCGCACGCACTCGGTCCTGATGAAAACCTAGGAAAATGGCTGGGACAGTTTCTCTTTGGTGAAGTGGACGGGAAATTACTGCAGGTTCCGGCAGCCCAGACCGTCGTCGTTAGAGTGAAATCAGGTCGCAGATACGTGAGCAGACAGGAAACGATGACCAGTTACGTTCAGTGGTTCCTTTGCAATACGAGAGCCATAAAGGAAAAATAGCACAGTCGGTCCACCCACACAAGCACCACTGACGCTTTTGGTCCAGCATCATCCCTTTACACATTTTCTTTTCTGGGAGGTTGGGTTTTCCAGTAACTTAATTTTAAGAAATATTATGTTGCGTTTTCACATTGACATAGTTTTTAAGCATTTTCAGTATAACGTAGTTGTTTGAAAGAGCAAACTATTTCATAGACAGGAACACCGTTTCACCTGCTTATTCTCTTACGGGACATGTGGCTATCTTAGAGTGAAATGTCCTAGGTATGTGGTTAGTCTTTACTGGAAAAATACAATGTTAAGTGGAAGGCTTTTATTTTTTTAATTTTTAAAAATGTCTTATTGATTTTTAGAGAGAGAGGAAGAGAGAAGGGTAGAGAAATAGAAACATCCATCTGCTGCCTCCTGCATCCTGCACACCCCCTACTGGGGATCAAGCCCACAACCAGGGCATGTGCCCCGACAGGGAATCAACCAGTGACCTCTGGGTTCACAGGTCAACACTCAACTGCTGAGCCACACGAGCAGGGCTCAAGGTTTTTATTTTCAATTAATTCGTATGTTTCATTTACCTTGCTTTTTCTGCACTGAGATCAGAGGGTTCGGTAATTAGTCACTCCACGGCCTTAGGAAACATCCTGTCCGCCTGAGAGTCCCTCACAGGCACACGGTGCAGGATGCTGGGTGTGGACCGCCGTCCCCTCCGCCTCTCCTGAGTGGCAGCGCCTGGAGGCTGACCCGGCTCCCAGGCCCGCCCCAGCACATGCCGCCTCTGCAGGTGGAGCTGGGCTCCTCGCTGGGGGGCCCCTACCTCGCCGTGCACCTGAGGAGGAAGGATTTCACCTGGGGCCACCGGGACGACGTGCCCAGCCTGGAAAGAGCCGTGAGGAAGATACGCAGCCTCATGAGGATCCACGGGCTGGACAGAGTGTTTGTGGCCACAGACGCCGTGAGGACGGGTGGGCAGCCCTGGCTCTGTCGTCCTCTCGCCCCCGTCGTGTCTGGGCAGACCCGCATGCCTCCTGACCCTGGGCTGGGAGGGCCACTGCATTTTGTGGTTTTGTCCCCTCCGCCCCTCTGCGAGCGCCCGGAGCATTAGCGTGTCCCGGAGTGTGTGTGCCGTCTTGGTGGGCAGACCCCAGTGGCAGCTCAGACCCCCTCGCAACGGCGGCTCCTTTCAATTTGCAGAACATGAGGAGCTGAAGGAGCTGTTACCCGAGATGGTGAGGTTCGAGCCCACGTGGGAGGAGCTGGAGCTCTTCAAAGACGGGGGCGTGGCCATCATCGACCAGTGGATCTGCGCACATGCCAGGTGCGCGAGTCCCAGGTCATAGTCAAAGGGACAGAGTTCGCGTGCCGGGGGCCACTGCCCAGCCCCCGCCCCCCGTGAATCCCTGTTACCTACCGAGCACCCCGGGGCTGCTGCAGGCATTGGTCTCCTCCCGGGCCAGTTTGCTGTGTGATGGCTCCCTCGCCCTCCCCTCTAGCTGCCGAAGGGTGAGTGTGGCCAGTGAGGGCCCAGCTTCATCCAGACCTGCCTGCCTGCCTGCCTGCCAGGAGCAGCCCCCGCCTGGGACTGTCCTGTGGGAGGCAGCCCGCGCAGGTGGGTCCTGGGCTCCCTGCGGATGCCTCGAAGGACTTTGCGCCTGCTGGCACTGGGGGAAGCCAGGAAGCACATTTGGAGTAAAATGGAAAAGAACAGTATTTCCCTCCTGTGCCAGGATTCTCCCACTCCTGGGGGGAGAGGGGCACGTGTTTGGTTTTGGTTGTGGGTCAGCATGTGTACCTGCCCCTGTGGGTGCCGGGCACTCCCTCGGTGAGGGCCCTTCTCCTCGGCTGAGCAGGGGCTTGGGGAGCAGGCTCAGCCCCAGGTGGAGATGGAGGTGGGCTGGGGCTGAGAGACAGCCTGCAGCTTGGCCGCCACCCTGGGTTCTGAATGAGAGCCTAACAGCTCCGTCCCCTCAGCCCCCAGAGTTCTGTGGAGATTGTAGGTTAGTGGTACGAGGCCCGCCTCCCTTAGACCCAAACTGGCGGACATTTGCAGGGCAGAGCTCTTGTGACAGTGCCTGGGGGCTGGCGGCTGCAGGCGATGGCTTCCCACCGCCCTGGCTGTGGTGATGGCCTCGGGGTCCTGGGGCCTCAGCTGGGCAGGTGACTGGGGGGTTGGGCTTGCGACTGTTGAGTTCTGTGCACGACTCTAGTGACCCCTGTTCTTCCGTTGCAGGTTCTTCATTGGCACTTCTGTCTCCACGTTCTCGTTTCGGATTCATGAAGAGAGAGAGATCCTGGGGTTGGACCCCAATACTACATACAACCGATTCTGTGGGGACTCGGAGAAATCGTGCGAGCAGCCCACGCACTGGAGGGTCGTGTACTGAGCTGGCACTCGGAGGCCCGTGCCCGGCACCCATTGTACCCGCGGTGGACTCGGGGCGTCCCCTGACGTCACATGTCGCTGTGGTGTTGCTCCTGCCCTTGGCTAGACAGACAAATGTCATGTCTTGGGGTCTCAGGCCCAGAGGAGGCCACGGGCATGCACAGTCATGGCCACGTGAGGACAGCGGAAGCTGGGCCGCGCCTGAGCTGTCCGGTTCCTGTGTCTCCTCTGGCTTTCGCTGCCCATGCACAGGCACTGCCACGGGGGCTCCAGCGATCTTTTCTTCAGGATCTGAAGCCACAGCAGGGCCCGCGGCCCCTCAGCCGCCTGTGGGCAGGCTTCCCCAGGGAGTCAGCAGGCACACGGGCAAGCAGCTCCCATCTTGGGGGCCGTAGAGCTGGCCGGGCCCTGGGGCTCGGTGTGATTTGAGTCTGTGGGTAACTCACTGTTACCCTAAAGCACAGTTTTAGTTCCGCCCTTCGCCCTGAGCGAAACCTGTGCGTCGGAGGAAGGTGGACGGCTGCCTGCAGAGCAGTGGGAGGGGCTGTGACTGGTCGCTCCTCCCGGTCGGTGCAGGAAGTTGCACCCAGATCTTCAGCGACTTGGCCTGTACACAAACATCCTCACCCCACATCCAGCTGCTGCCTCTGCATCTGTGGTTGTCACTCAGCCCCCGACCTGTGTGGCCGGAGGGGCCTAGCAGGCCAGCTGTCCCCACCATCCTCTTCCAGGGGCCCTTTCTGAGGCCTCGGAACGGCTCCCCAGGGAGGTGGGGCTGGGGGGTGCCCCCGGCATGGGGGTCGGCTGTGAGCACTGCCAGGGGGCCCTGTTCCCTCCCTAGCTGGGAACCGTGACTTCAGGGACATCTGGGTGAAGGGCCATGGCAGGAGCGTGGGCACATGGCCCTGCTGCTGAGCCGGCAGCCAGGACGTGGGGTCTAGGCCCATGGCCTCCGTTCTCCGTCTCCTTCCCAGGCTTTGGAAGTCTGTGAACACACAGGGCCCCTGGTGTCAGCTGTGCAGGCTGAAGTGATGATATATTTATTCTATTCCATTTGTACACTCGCATGTTAATAAAATCAATGCTCTAGAAAGTGGAATCCTAGAAATGGTGCCTTTTCCAAGCCTGCGGAGGCAGCCACATTGTCCTAGGTCCGCATCCCGGTGGAAAGAGCAGTGAGAAGTCCCACATCAGAGGGTGGGAGACACTTGGGAAGATGGCGGGAGGGGAGCTCAGGGTCCAGGGCTGAGTCCCCCGAGGACCTGGCACACGGCCTCACTCCATGGCCCAGCACACTGGTCAGTGTGGTTACCCTCCTGGCATCAAACCCCAGGGACCAGCAGGTAGCTTCGCTGGTGTGAGGTGGCACGTCGTGGCCCCGGCTAAGGCCCAGGAGGGGCAGTGGGTGCCGAGGGACGGCCATCGGGGCGCCCAGGCACGGCTCCCCCAGGGTAGGGCCGCTGTGGGTGACCTGACCTGTGATGTGGCAACTATGGCGTCGTCCTGCCCAGCAGCCTCCAGGGCCTGTCCCAGCAGGGCTCTTCCCTGGGGGGTGGAAGGAAGCTGTCCTTTGGTAATAAGCTGTTAGCTGCAGCCTCCGCCAGGCGGTCTGGCTGTTGGGAAGTGTTTGGAGTGAGGAAGGGGTCCTCCATGCAAGACAGCCAGACGATGGGCTGTCGGGGGACAAACCTTATCATCTTGACCTTGAGTCAGAGGGACTTCCAAGGACTCTCATACGGGGATCCACAGGGTCCTGGTGAGCTCTCCCAGGCAGAGACTGCTGGGCCCTGGGCACCAGCCAACCTGCGTGAAGCTTCTGATGGACAGGCACTGGGACACGGGCCGGCCCCGCTCTCTCTCACCTGGGACATGGGCCTGCCTGGCTCGCTCTCTTGCCTGGGACATGGGCCGGCCCCGCTCTCATCTGGGACATGGGCCGGCCCTGCTCTCTCTCTCCTGGGATATGGGCCTGCTTTGCTCGCTCTCTCGCCTGGAACACGGGTCCGCCTGCTCTCTCTGGCCCGGGCCTTGCTGTCACACCAGTGGATTCACAGTGAGGTGGGAAGGACTCCTGCTGTGACCACAGTGCCCTCTGGGCTCGCTGGGGCTTCAGCCCTGAGCACCGCTGTCATTTCAGAGGGAGGGCTGATTAGGGCTGTGCAGCCCTTCCCAATGGGTTGCCCTCTGTCAGTGTCGGCCCCTTTCTCTTCCTGGGGCCTGTCCAGCGGCACTGTCTCCCTTGCTCATACTGCGCCTTGTCCTCTATCCCGGGCGGGAAGGTGGGAACCACAGCCAGACCCGAACCCGGGCTCTGCAGCCTGAGGGTGACCAGGGCCCTTCTCCAGGAGCAGAGTTTGGGTTACACGTGGAGGCACACGGGAGAAACCACAGACGGGGCTGAGGAGGACCCCCCACCGAAAAGGAGGGGCGAAGGGTCCCCGGAGAGGGCCGTGCAGCGCCGGCAGCTGGCATCCGGCCTGCGGACTCAGTAACCCGGTTTCCTGGTCCCGGGGGTGTGTGGCCTACAGTCACAGTGCGCTGCTGGCTCCCGGGCCATCTGTTCTCGCTGCCGCCGCCTCCTCACTCCTCGCGGCCACATTAGCTGGCTAATGGAGGCTGATGCTGCAGGAAATGGCCCGTGGCACATTAAATCTCTCATTTCAATTTAGAGGCCTTTTTAGGACAAACCAGGGCCGCTTCGTGTCCTGCACGGCTGGGCCCTGGCCAGCCAGGTCGCCTTTGTGCCCAGGGGACAAGTACGCAAACAGCGCAGTGCCGTCCGCACTGTGCCCTGAGCGGGCAGCGCCCCCGACAGCCTCGGCCCTTCGCTGGGAGGAGGTGATGACTCCGCACGCGTCCGGCAGCCAGTGGAGCAGGCGTCCCATCACCTCGCTGAGCCCACTGGTGGCCGGCACAGGCTGGACCAGGGTCCGGGGACTGAGTTCCCCCTCCCCACCCCTCGACTGCCCTCCTGGCCCTCAGCTTCAGGACCAACAAGCACAGGAGCGAGGCAGCGTCAGCGATGTGACTCGGAAGGACCAAGAAGCCTCCGGAGACGGTGGTTTGTAGAACGAGTGACGTTTCGCTGCCAGGACGAGAGAGGCGTGGAAGGACGTCCCAGTGAGGAGGTGGCCGTCTGGGGGGGACGGGCCATGCCCGGAGAGGAGGGTGGCCCTGGAAAGGATGGCCAGGCCGTTGGCCAGCTGTGAGCACGGGGCTGGGCTGGAAAGGCCAGGCGTGGGGGGAGCCGTCCAAGCCAGCTGCCCACACCTGAGGTGCCCCCTGAGCAGTCCTGGGGACCCTGGGGCGTAGACTGAGCCCAGAGGGTTAAGGGGAACCCCAGAGACCAGCCATCGCAGACAAGTGTGAGTCACAGAGGCCGCAGGAGCCTGGCACCTCCGATCCCTGCAGGACAAGCCCTGGCTTTCCTGGGGCAGGAGCAGGAGTCAGCCAGGGCCTGGGCAGGCAGGGGTCAGAACCGAAGCCCCAAGGCAAGGCATCCTGGTGTGAGTCAGGGCCCCAGAAGGGATAGGGATGTCAGTTCTGGGGGCCTCGCTCTGGGTGGAAGGGCAAAGGAGAGAAAAAGCCTCCTTCCCAGAGTTTCTGACTGTGAGCCATCCTCCTGGTCCCTGGAATAAGGGTTTAAAGCCCCCATATGTGTGCAGTCATACACACACACACACACACACACACACACACACACACACATACACTGTATTCCCAGTGCCTTAGGCTCTGGCAGATGCACACACAGACCCTCTGGAGGAATGCACGCTCCCTGCTCCAAGAATCCCTACCCAGGGAGCCTGAATCCACACCACAGAGTCAGCAGCCACGCCAGGAGGCCCTGTGCACGGCAGAAACATCTCGGGCAGAACCACACTCTGCAGACAATTGGAATAATCCGATCAGAATAGAAAGTAACCTGATTGACATATTTATAGAAATGAAGGAGGGTATTGAAGTATGACAAAGGACCAAGAAACCATCGAAAATAAAATATAATTTCCAGGGAAAAAAATTTTTTTTAAATGATTGACATCAGAAACGCAAGAGTTAAATAGCAGATTCCACAGTTAAAACCCACTGTGAGTGGAATGATAACCGAAAGGAGGTGACCCAGCAAGGAGCCTGGGCACCGGAGAGAGACTGACGGCAACACGAAGGGATGGAGACAAGAGGATGCACAGGTCTCACCTCCATCGCTTGGATGTTCTAGGAGGGACCAGGGGTGCAGGGCAGGACTGGGAAGGAGGTGTGAGCTGGGGGGAGGGGGGGTTTCCTGTCATCGATCCTGGTGTTCAGAGGCCCAAGGAAATCACGCAGCTCCAACAACTATTATAGAAATCCAGAGTTACCAGTAAACTGCAGGAATATAAAGGCAGAGGAGGCCTTCAAGCCCCTGGGATGAGAGCCAGCAATTTCCCGATGTTCCACTGAAGCACAGCCACAGGCCCACAGCTGGAGTCCCACAGCAGCAGGGGTAGACATGGGAGCCATCCATCAAACCTAGAGCCAATGCTGCCAGACCAGACTTCTGTTACCAGCAAAAATCTCTTTTAAGAATCAGAACCGGGTACAGATTTTTCCAGGCAAAAATAAACCTGTAACCAGACCTTACAAAAGACGGGAAATAATCTCAAAGATGTAAGAAGAAAAACAAAGGTGAGGAAACCATAAACACGAGTGAAAATAACAATGACATCGACTTTGTGGGTAGAAATAACCAGCTGGGATCAGCTGTGGGCAGTGGTCCCAGAGCCAGGACAGGTGTGAGCAGAGATAGGGTCTTAAGAACTACAGAACATTAGAGAGAATCAAGAGATTGGATGACTTCCAACCCTTTAAGGGAAATAGATTAAAGATTTCCAAATGATAACAATAGAATCTAAATCTTGAAAAACCAAGATGGCGGCATAAAGTATACACCTCCACGTGCTGCCTCTCACAACCACACCAAAACTGACACCTAAAAGACAAAACGTCTATCACCCAGAACCA